TCCTCAGTTCTAAGTTGCTTCTCTCCTTGATTAGTTTCCACCCATTGCTTCTTGTCCTGCCCTCAGGTGCCTAGTTTGACTCCCTCGTCTTTGCGGCAACCCTGAGATATTGAAAGACTGTTATCATGTCTCCCCTAGTCCTTCTTTCTATTAAACTAGACATACCCAGTTCCTGCAACTGTTCTTCATATGTTTTAGTCTCCAGACCTCTAATCATCTTTGTTGCTCTTCTCTGCACTCTTTCTAGAGTCTCCACATCTTTTCTACATTGTGGCGACCCAAACTGAATACAGTATACCAAGTGTGGCCCTTAACAAGGCATTATAAAATGGTATTAACACTTCACGTGATCTTGATTCCATCCCTCTGTTGATGCAACCTAGAACTGTGTTGGCTTTTTTGGCAGCTGCTGCACACGGCTGGCTCCTATTTAAATGTGAGATCCCTCTCACAGTTACTACACTGTGAGTACAGTGTACATGGAAGACAGCAGGGAAGTTGAACAAAAGGACACAAAAGTTAAACGTCTGGGGTTTTAATCAGGGAAAGAATGCAAGTGTAGTAGCTGCCCTGGGAAATTTGTCAAGCTGAACTCACTCGTGGATGGGATAAATGACGGATGCCATGGAGAGATTGATGTTTAGTGGGAAAGCACAGGAGAAGCGCAGGAAAAGAAACCGATCCCGGCTGATCGTCCCACCGTAGGTGTTCTCCAGATGACCCTGCACCACGTTGGTGTAGATAGCATGGGTTGTATTCACCTACAAACAACAGGAGGGGAAATGGAACAAACGAAACAAAAAACAGACATTGAAAAAGAGGACAACTTCTTCTTGTTGTAACAATATTATCTAGAACAGGGATGGCTAACCTTTTCGTTGTCAAGTGCCGAAAGAACGCACACGCCTGCACCCTTAATGCACTACGCACGTGACCCCCCATGCGTCCCTCCCCTCGCACATGTGTATGACCCCCTGTATGCACCCCATCCCCTGTTCTGACCCCCCCTCGTCCCACACCAACACACACTCCGAGCCAAAGATAAGTTACGGCACTTAATTAACAGACAATAGCAGTAGCAATAGCAATAGCAGTAGACTTATATACCGCTTCATAGGCCTTTCAGGCCTCTCTAAGTGGTTTACAGAGAGTCAGCATATTGCCCCCAACAATCTGGGTCCTCATTTTACGAACCTC